AAAATTTGGCGGTCATAATAACATAAGATGACTTAAGATAAAATTCTAGGAAGTTGGTAACCTTGGTTGTCGGCTGTAACATCATATTAGGTCCAATTTTTAGGTTAGTGTGTTTTATGTTGTTTCTGTTATTTGTGTTGTTTCCTTTAATTTACAACTGACAGAAATTCTTACTGATCAAGATATAGTTGATATGGAGAACATATTGTTTCTGGTAAAAATGTGCTTCAGTATGAAGAAAATGTTTAATTAGAAATAAATTCCATAATACAAGATGAAGATGTAGTAATACAATATAGGCAATATGTGATTTTTGAAGAAAATGTGCTTCAGTATGAACAAAATTTAAAGGAAAATTAAGGAAATGTTCAATTCGAAAAATAAAATTTGACAGAACAACTTAAAGAAAATTTCATTGGGTACAGTACAATAAATGATAATATTATTAAAGCAAAAAATGCCAGGCCATTACCAAGTTGTGGAAACCAATGCCGAAGCAAAATTTCTGATCAACAAAGAATAATGTTTTTTAAAAACTTTTATCAATTAAATTCTAGAAATAAAAAACACTTTTGTATATCCAGTTTAATAAAACTCATTAAGAAAAAAAGTCCGATATTAGCAAAAAATGTTAGCCCCAGTAAGCAAAGAAATAGAATTTTGCTTGTTATACTATTGAAATAGATAAAGAGCAGGTAAGAGCTATTTAAAAAATGTTTCATGGTACTCTTTGATGTCATACGTGTTGTTCTTCAGAATAAATTAGATACCCACGCATAAATGCCTACTGCGAACAGAAGAGGGAAATACGATCCAGTCAATAAAACAAGTATTGAATGAATAATAGAGCAAGCAATATCCTATATGAAGTCAGTTCCCTCATTTAACAGTCACTATTCCAGACGACACATAAGCAAACAATATTTGCTTGCTTAATTTGAATAAAATGTATAAACTCTACAAAGACGTAACATCAAATCCTATATTCACAACAAATACAAATTATGAACCTGAAATGTAAGTCACAGAGTTTAGATACTTGTGGTAAATGCGACTCACTTAACAGCCAAATAAAAGTAGCTGCAACTGAAGAAGGCACACCTAGACTGACAGAAAACCTACACAAACATCAAAATGATGCTGATAAAGCTTATTCAGCCAAAGCAAATGATAAAACCACAGCACAGAATACTCTGTAAATATACCTTCGATTTGCAACAGTGTTTGCCAACATACATACCTGCAAACCGGAATTGCATTCTATAAAATACAGCTGTGGGTCTTCAATATCACTATTCATGATTGCAAAACAGGTGAAGCCTTTTGCTTCATGTAAGACGAGACAGTAGCTGCAAGAGGCGCGAACCAAATAGCCTCTTGCTTGTACAAATTCATAACTGTTGATTTAGTACCAAATAAAACAGAACACCTTATATTTTACAGTGATACTTGCCCAGGGCAATGTTCCAAGTAGCAATTTCTGAAAATAAGAGAATAAAAACAATAGACCATAAGTTCTTAGTACCAGGTCACACTCATATGGAGTGTGACACCGACCATTATGTTATCAAAAGATTTAAAAAAAAGTCGGGGTTAAAAATTAATATCCCCAAGATTGAGTTCAACTGGTAAGGGCTGAGAGAAACAAGATTTTTTTCATTTAGCGTTCTCCTGAAAAAAGAGTTTGTGGTAAAAAAACGAAATGATAAAAGGCGGGAATTTTTATTGGAATCAAGTAACCTGGGTGAAGTACAAAGATTCAGGATTGGTGGAATATAAGGAGTCACTATTATGTGAGAACGTTACAATGTAAGGCTAATGGTTTCCAATTACCATCATTTTCAACAGCCTTTGACAACTACTTCTTTATTATTACCACACACAGTTGTAATAGATTTCAAGTTTTGCCATCAAAGATTCTTTTTATTAATGGTATTTTCAACTCCCTTAAAAATATCTTTCCCAGTAGTCGTGCCATGAATACTATCAATATCAAGAAGTTATATACTTCATAGCTTTCATCTACTCCTCCAATAAAAATCAATACCAGAGCAGTATCTGATACATTCGTTGATTCATCCAAGGTCGGGTGTCCATTTTTGTCAGACAGTTGAGATAATTTATTTTCTGCGATGTCTTGTACCCAGGTGGTTACTGACAGTTTTAAATAAATTTACCTTTTCAGGGCATATTTCTTTGGCTACTGCAATTACGCATTCTACGATCATTTCTTCATAGGTGAATTGTTTTCCACGTTTTGCGATTTCAAGAACCACACGAAAGCTGGCACGAGTTGAACCTGTTGTTTTGTAAACAAAGATTGCTGCGATTTTAATCCGCGCTTCAAAGCTTCAAATTTTTCTGTCCTATATATTTTGAGTAATTTTGAAAATGTTTCGTTTCATAATGACGCTTAATGTTATATTCTTTGAGAACAGCTATGGTTTCATTGCAAAGCAAACATAGCGCCTTATTTCTGGACTCAATCACGAAATATTGAAAGTTTCATTGATCTTTGAATGTTCTGCATTCGCTATCTATTTTTCGCTTCTTTTCCATACTAGTAAATCACACATTCAAATCAACATACTGTTACGAAAGGGTGTTGGTTAGAAGATGTCTTTTTATCAGTATGGCCCGAAGCCTGGAAAGTCTGGAGACCCCTTGTCATTCTAGAGAACAAGGATGTTTGGGTTCGAATCCCTACGATAACCGGCTTTTTTCAAATCTCCAAGTGTTTGTTTTCACCTTTGAGGTTCAGGGATGTTCTTAAATAAATCGTAGGGAGATTTTGAGATTTGATTCCGAATTTTTAAATTTTTTACCCACTTATTTCAGATATTTCTGACTTTCAAGAGTTCAATTGAAGATTTTACAATTTATTAAATTAAATAAACTAGATGTTCTACTAGCTTTTGAAGAGAATTCCCATACCAGTTCACGCAAGTAGTGTTCAACAGTTCTTAGAAACTTATAAAACGAAAAGTGGCGTCCCTATAGCAGGGACAAAAGTTAGAATGGCTTCGAGAATTTCGCGATAATGTTTGTTAGACATAGTCGTCTCATAGAATAAAAATAATACCAAACATTTTAAATTATTACCAGCGGAATCGAGTAAACGTATCTATTTATGGGCTACAAATAATTATTTAAATAAGTAATACTATCCCAAACTATATATCTACAAAATTTCATTAGCTATTCACAATTTATTAAATCTTTTACATTAAAATTTTATTAACATCTATAAAATAATTTTCTACGCCAATGTTTCACGTTCACTTCGGTTAGATCCACGTCAAAACTGTAAAATCATGTATATGAAGTGGGAAAACTGTCAAAAGCCGCTATACATACAGTATCTAACTTTAGTTACCTGTGTGAACTTGGCCAATTTCCCAAAGATGACTAAAAGGTCGGTAGCGTCTTTAAAAATGTTAACACATTAAAAATCGGTATACAAGGAAATAATAATATTATTAACAATTTGAGACTAGTCTGGTTTCCTTACGAGGGGTCTAAGTTCGTTTAATGGGGTAGCAGCCCATTTTAAAATAGTGGAAAAAGCTATTTGGCACAGAAGGAGAAAAGTTAACACTTTAAAAATCGGTATACAACTAGATAATAATAGAAATAATTTAAGACTTGTCTGATTTCCTTACGAGGGATATAAGTTGGTTTAATGGGGTAGTAGCTCTTTTTTGAAACATTGGAAAAATCTATTTGGTACAGAAGAGAAAAAGTTAACATTTTAAAAATCGGTATACAACTAGATTATAATATTAGAAACAATTTGAGGGGGTCTAAGTTTTTTAAGGTGTTAAATTTTCCCTTCTGTACCAAATAGCTTTTCCCAATATTTCAAAAAGGGCTGCTATCCCATTAAACCAACTTAGACCCTTATAAGGAAATCAGATTAGTCTCAAATTGTTTATATTATTATTTACTTGTATACCGATTTTTAAAGTCTTAACTTTTTTAAAGACGCTACTGATTTTTCGGGCATCTTCGGGAAATTGTCGGCTAACTTTTGGCTGCCAAGTTCACACCAGGAGCTTCAGGTATTATAATAACAAAAATATTTGACCGTAAAAACTAGAATTATTACTTAAACTTATTAATACCTACTATTGGATAGGTTAAATAATTAAAATACCTTTCAAATGATGTATAATACTAGGGTTGCCAACCGTCCTGTATTAGGAAGGAGGTCCTGGATTTCAAGCGATTTTAATAGATTTGTCCTTCGTCCTTCCGAGCCCTTAAGAAGGATGCATTCTGTCCTGGATTTTAGCCAGTTGTTCAAACAACATAGTGGCCAAGTCAGAAAAAAACTTGTAAGCAATAAGAAAGTGCACTATCATACCATTATACCAAACCAAAGTGTTTTATATTTTTTATTTATTAGTGACATTATAATACGATAGAGTAGTGTTTAATGTTTAGTTTGTACCTCATTTTTAATGGGTAGGTACCTACCTATACTTATAGGTAAGGTAAGAGGTAAGATAAGGTAGATACTTAGAAATTAAGTTTTAATTTTTTTGTTTTTAAAATGTTCATTTCATTTTTCAGCTAGTAATGTTTTTTTAAATTTATTTTGTTTAAAATTAATAAAACGTTATATGATTATGTATCCTTTTTTGTTACCCTGTGTTCTTGTTTGTTTACAGGTTTTTAGTGATTTGTCCTGGATTTCAAAAATTAATAATTGGCAATCCTATATAATACTTGCATGAAATATACATTTCTATTTAATTAACAATAGGAATCCTAAGAAAACCGTCAATACTTTAAAAAACAACGACTTGGCAACGCAGCTTCAGCGAGGAGGGCAGTAAACCCGTCAGCCGAAGGACCGCATGCCGGTTTTAAGAAGCATTCTTCTTCTACATAATTCGCTCGCCTATCTATACCTTACCTTTTTCAATACCTGAGCCAAACCGTAACAGCTAAAAAGCATCTCGAATCTCGATCTGTGGTGGTCATTAGAAGCCGAAAGCCGACTCTGTTCAATGTGTTTTGGTGACAACAGGTGTTTTTTAAATCGTGTATATGTTTAACCGAGTGTAATTGTGTAGTGTCTGATGAATTTTGAGTGGTATGTTCAATATGCATTACGAATCACAACCTCGTAACCACCGCTATCTAGATATATATGTACAAGAGTATTTACATTTCTGCATACATGCAAGAGATAAAGAGTGGGATTGTTTTGATTGAAATATTGACAGTTGACAAGCTGCACGTTTTAAAAAGATTTGAGTTTGGATATGAATGGTTTTTGGTTTTATCAGAGATTTTATTCTAATTTAAAAGTGTTTTGCTCAAAAATAATGATTTTAAAAATATTACGTTTCAATAATATGTTTAAAAATTAGGTACCTACTATATGAATGAAAATGTTTTATATTTCAGCAGCCCAATTATTTTTCAGTCACTTAAATATATAATAGATATAATATAAACACATTTTACAATTATCAGGTACTACTAACTTAACTTGTGACTGATTGATTATAAAGAGGCTTCTTTATTATCTGAAAGAGTAGAAAGAAGCATCTTAAAATATAGGTATTTTGGGAAATAGAATATTCATAAAAATTCGTAAAATTATCTTAAATTAACCAAAGTTTTATTTTTTTTACAGTTGAGTGGCTTCCATTCAAACAGTTTTCGTTTTTTTTTTGTATTTTTTTACAAAAATTACATTCTTGATAACCCTTGTGTGCCGCAATAACCCTAGAAATACTAGACAATGTTACAAGAAAATTTTCTAATAGGCTTTTTTATTGCCACGAAGTTATAGGAGAACATTTTGATAATTTAAGTGGTTTTTTGATCTTCTTAGTTTATTTATTTTAGTAAATATCGTGTTTCTTTAATGTGTAAAAAGGGTTTCCTTAGTAATAAACAATAACGATAAATACGAGGCTTATCAAGAATGTAACTTACTTCATTAATTTTTTTAATGTAATTTCTGCAAAAACATTAAAAAAACCTGAAACTGTTTGGCTGGACGTAAAGATAATGAAAATATTTTTCAAATGAGGTATCACATAACCCTACTTTCTCTTAGGAAATTTAGATAGTATAGCCCTCTTTATTACGTCTCAAGTAAAGTGCATCTCATTATAACAAAAATCTGATGTGTCCAACACATGACTTTCCTATCTAGTTATTATAGGCTTTTTCCGGTTATTTTGTACAACCTATTGCAGCATCTCTATAAATGTTTAGAGGATAAACTAAATATATACATTGTACACATACATATATACTCATTGAAAACAAAAATACTGAAAAATTTAAATTTCCTACAATTTTTTCATTACGGTCCATTTTAGAAAAATCATGTATAAACAAAAATTATAGAGATCGATATCGCAAACAACTTTTATTTCAAAAATTTTCATAAAAATCAGAATTTTGCACATTTTGTCAAATTTCTCGAATACGGACCATTTCAGGAAATTTTTACATAAAACAAAAAATATAGATAATATTAGAAGTAACTTTTATTTGAACAATTTTCTTCTCCAAACATAACTAACAGATATATTCCATAAAATATAAAAACGTCCTCCCATAAAGTACCCCCCCAGATGTTCCGACTTTGTCCAAAATCTAATCATTTTACGTCAGGCCGAAATAAACCTTAAGTTTAAAATTTAATGTTTTTTTCTTTATTCGTTTTTGAGTTTTCTTGAAAATTCGAAATTTACACATTTTCTCAAATATCTCGAATACGGTCCATTTTAGAGAAATTATGTATAGAATAAAAATTATAGAGAATTATATTACAAACAACTTTTATTTGAACAATTTTTATAAAAAATTATTTTTTTACATTTTGTCAAATTTCTCGAATACGGACCATTTTAGGAAAATTTTGCATAAAACAAAAATTATAGATAATTATATTAGAAGTAACTTTTATTTGAAGAATTTTCTTCTCCAAACGTAAATAACAGATATATTCCACAAAATATAAAAATGACCACCTATAAAGTACCCCCCAGATGTTCCGACTCTGCCCAAAATCTAATCACCTCATTGGACGCTGAAACAAAGCTTAAGTTTAAAATTTGGTGTTTTTCTGTGGATCGGTTCATGAGTTATGCGTTATACAGACACACACACACACACACACACACGCACGCACGCACACACACACACACACACACACACACGCACGCACACACACACACACACACACACACACACACACACACACACACACACACACACGCGCGCACACACACACACACACACACACAGGCAGACATCATCGCGAAAATAGTCAAAACGGATTCAGGGGACCTCAAAACGTAAAAATCCGTCGAAAACTCGAGATCGAAAAAAATCATGATTCCTATACTTTCCTTATATCTGTATACAGATAGGAAAGTCAAAATATCGTAATATCTCTCTAGTTTTACCTCGTTTCTGTTTCATGTCTCTATCTTCTTCCATTTAGAAGTTAAGAGAGTAGAGTATAATTTTACTTCCTTATTGTATACAGTATGGTTTAAATGAAAGGAATAAATTCATTACAATGGAAGTAGTTATTTTTTTGAAAAAATGGCCGGACTGGTCAATTTTTTTTATTAAAATTGAAATTTTTCAAAAATAATTCGTTTCTCCCACTTCTCATTTTTGGCAGTGACGTCATTGACAATTTTTTTAAATAGTAACTCCATTTTTTTTTTATTTTTCATTGAATTTGATAGATCTTGCAATTTCCTACTCAAAGACATAATATTTACAATATCTTACATAACATTTTTTTTTAATAAAAGTCATTTAAAGATCAGACACAATCATTTTATTTTGAGAACTCAATAAATAAGTAAACGATAAGAACGATAATTATTTGTAATTAAGTACTTAATCTAACAAAATAATAATATTAAAAAATAATTTATTGACAATTTCACAGCAAAATAATTCAAAATTTTTCTACTAAATTAGGTGTTTTAGTACTCGCCGGATATACAGTTGGGAAAAGAAAATTTTGTTGGAACAAACCTGTAAATATCTGACAACTTATTCATATGTATATTGTCAATTGTCATTTTCCGTTATCTATTAAAAACAAAGACCAAGTACGTCATTGATTCATTTAATAGAAAAGAAGAAATTTAAGATTTAACATAAAAGTTAAGCCTGCCAATTATTAAGAATAAATATTAAATGCTAATACTAATCATAAATTGAGTTATATATCCCCATTACATTGTAAAGGTTCAACTTAATTCTTAATCATAATACTAATGCAAATACTAATAATAAGGGAGTATAAATAGACCCTTACTATGTAAGAAAGCGAGCGATTTAAACAATAAAATACAAATTATATAGGGTGAGTTTTCTAAAAAAAAATCCCATAGGACTAAAAGTAGTTAAATTTACCCTTCAAATCTCTTTTTTAATTTATATTACAGTTTTATATTTACAAATTAATGAATCTAAGGCATTTTTTTAATATAATCTAAATGTATTTCCATTTTATTAATAAATGTGGAATCTAGTACCTACGACAGTGTTTGTTATATTAAAAAAAAATAACTACAGTTTTATCGACTATAATATTTTAAAGTAAAGTTATTAATGAAAGTTATCCCTTTAATTTTATGTCGATAAAAAAACTTCTTTCATTTAAAGTTAATTTTAAATAAAATACATGAGAAATATTTATTATGTGTTATAGTTTTGACTATCTAGAAATCTGATATGTTTAAATTTTAAGTGATGATAAGCAATTGAACATTTCAAATAAGCAAAAAATAAACTGTTCGGGATAGCTCTAGAATCTTTTTTTTTTTCCAAGAAAAAATGTGTCTCTCGTCTAGCGGGGCATCACTAGAAAGTATAGGAATCATGATTTTTTCGACCTCGGGTTTTTGACGAATTTTTACGTTTTGGGATCCCTTGAATCCGTTTTGACTTCTTTCGGGATGATGTCTGTGTGTGACTGTGTATGTATCTGTGTGTCCGTATTCTTGAAAACTCATAAACATGAACATCTGCAATGATTTCGAGCATGATTTTCAATAATGATTTGGGAATTTTCGAGAAAATTTGTATTGATTTCAAGTGAAAATGTACCAGTATTTCGGAAATAGTTTAACCCTCGCTTAAATAGTACAAACAGAAAACACAGGCACCAGATTCCATTTAATATCTATTTACATACTTGTGAAAAGTTACTGTAATGGTTTTTAGATATTTTGTACCACCAGTCCGTTCTTAATATTTTACCACAATAATACATAACAAAATTCGAACAAAGCGACCTGATTCTAAGAAACGACACTGGTTGTTCTCCATCTTTCTCCAGTGCTACTGTGACCCAATAGGTAAACACGAATCTTTCTAGAGCTTAATATCCAATAGGTTGACAGTACCAATCATTTAAGAATCGTAAACAATAAAGAAATTAATAAACACTTACCTACAATTTGAAGTCAAGGAAGTCCCTTCTTCCATTCGTTGTTTCGTTGTTCCAATCCTAGGTCCACAAACCATTTTTTCGCGTCACCCGTTATATTTAATTCCGGAAATCTTCTGTTCCCGGCGACGATCTTTCATTCTAACCTCAATACTCATCGACTCATTCCGTTTCAATAACAAGCCTTCAATGCCTCCAGGTTATTATTGAACTCAAATTTTTTTATGTGGTAAATTACAACATTATATTTTTTGCATATAAATTTTAAAGGGTGTACTATAAATAACAATATATATGATATATATATTCAAGGTGTTAAAGAAAAAATAGATAGAATTCTGAAAACTACGAAGGGTTTGCTTGATAAAAAAATTCTAAAATCGACTATTTTTATGTTACAGTTAAAAATTAAAAAAGGTTATTTGCTATTACTTGAATTAGGGGATGTTTTTTATAGTGCTTCCGTTAATAAATAAAAAGAAAATTGAAAAATTTGAAAGAACTACATTACCTAAAAAAATAAATATTTGTAACTCTATATTTATTTAGAAGTCTATTTATATTAAAAAAAATACGTTTTTTTCCAAATAAGTTCATTTGAGTTTAATAAAAATCGTAAAACCATTGCCGGCCAGTATTTCTGCAGC